GGGGAGGTGTCACTGGGGGGAGGCCCTGACTACAAGGACGGCACCCTGAGCCTAGATGAGGGCTCCGAGGACATTGGCGAGACATCCTATGGCTGAGCCTGCCTTGTGGGGGCAGTGCCTCTGCCAATCTCCTGTGGGGAGGGTTCCCCACTTGGAGGTCCCTGGGGTTCTCTGCTCAAGTTGCCCAGGGGTCTCTGAATGCCCAGAGGTTGGCAGAGAGGATGCGGATGCCCACATCCCCAAAGCCTGTGGCTGGCTGTCACAACCTCTGGGGCTGTCCCTGAGGATCAGCCAGGGTGGGGGATGCCCCACGCAATGGGGTCATGTTCCTCTCTTACCCTTGTCCCCAGATGCATGACAGCTCAGCTGGACAGGGTTGGTGTGGTAGGCTGGGTAATGCCTCCAGAAGATGCCCACAGCCTGATCCCAAAGAAGACTGTGGAGGAGGGTTTAAACTAAAGACCGGGACTTTTGGACTTAGAAGGGCCTTAAAATTGAGAGAGAGTCAAAGAGAAGAGGCCACCTGAGGATGGGGGCAGGACTGAAGTGAGGCAGCCACAAGCCAAGGAACACCAGAGTCTACTGGGAGCCTCCCTGGGAGCCTTGGGAGTGAGTGCTCCCGCCCATATCTGGATTCTGGGCTCTGTTCATAAGCAGACTCCTGTTATCTTAAGCCACCTGGTTGTGGTAGGTAGCACTAAGAAGCTAAAATGCAGAGTGAGGGGGCAGCTCCAGCCATCTGTGCATGGGAGGCCCACAGTGTCAGCAGAGTGCCAGCGCAGTCTCAGGGTCCCCCACGATGTCCCTGTGCACCAGCTTAAAGGTGTCAATGAACAGCTGCATCCAGTCCTGCCGCTCCACCCCTGTGGCGAACTTGGCCCGCTCCGCGGTGTAGACCAGCACAGCCACCAGCTGGGAGTAGGCAGCTGGGTCCTGTGTGAGCTCCGTGGTGTTTAGCAACTGTTGGATCAGGGGGATGGTCCTGGGGAAGGTGGCGTCCGGCCCCTCTTCCGTGCGGAGGAAGGTGACCGGGTGCTCGCCACCAGGCCGTGATCCATCTGCAAGGGAGCGTCCAGAGAGGGCATTCAGGGCTGTGGCTGATGTGGTGGCCTGTGGCCCCTGCTCGGGTGAGTGCATGGCCAGGGAGTCAAGGAGACATCATGAGTAGGTGGGAGCTGCAGTTGGTGGTGGGCAGCTCATCCGAGAACCTGAGAATGTCTCTGAACTGCAAGCACCCAGGGAAAGCTCTCTCTCTCTGTCTCACTTTGGGGTCTGCAGGAGGTCAAGGTCTGACTCCTGTGGGCACCATACCCTAACTTGCACCACTGCTCAGGTTACAAAGACTAGAGATGTCCATCTCTCCGTGGTGTAGGTGCCAATTCTCAAACCAAGATGGGCTGGTACAGAGACAACCCCTTGGAGCCTTTCCCACCAACCGTGAGCCAGCTCCTGCCTCTGCCTTGTCTGAGTTGAGATCAAGTTACTCTGAGCAGTAGCTACTGCTGAATAATATCTCTATGGGTTGTAACTAGTGTGCAACACCATGAAGAACACCTCCTGGCCTGATCCAGGCCCGGGGTGGCTGGGCCCCTGGATGGACAGGCTGTTTGACCTAGAAAGTTAGGGCTGGGCAGAGCCAGCGAGATGTTCAACCTAGAACATCTTGTTTCAAATGCCCATTCCCAAGTCCCAACTGTGTTATTTCCTAGAGTCACAAAGCCTAATTCACTTTGAAGTTTCAAACAACTTTAAGGCCGAGTGTTATGAGTCTAATTAGGGATGAGGTAGTTAAGGAGATTGAGAAGGAGGTGTCTCTGGAGGGGCTCCCCTTCACTGTTGGGTATTGGAGGCTTCAGGGAGGTGGAGGAGGGCAAGAGACTCCAGAGACTCCTTTGCTCTGCGCCTACTTTCGCATAACCTGGAGCCACACAGACCCCTGAGGCTAGTGCCCCATCAGCAAGGCTGACAAGACAGCACAGACAGGAAGCCTACAGGCAAGGGCATCAAGAATACGGTGCAAAACCCGTCCATGAAGTATTAGCAGGTCGAATCCAAGAGTGCGCACAGAACTGTGACTAAATGGGATTTAATTCAGATAGACAGGCCCATCCAGCGCTTGGAAATCAATCACCACAACCCCTTATCTTGATGGACTAACAAAGTGTACACGATCTCCTCAAGAGAGGCAGAAAAAGCACTTGGCCAAACCCATCACCCACTCACGATAGAATGCCTAGCAAACTCGGCACTGAGGGGAGCTTCTTCAAAGAACAAGAGCACTTATCATATGGGAGACACTCACTGCTTTCATGCTGAGCCCACGACGGTGCTGGGCCACTGCCAGGCCAGTGACATCTGGTCTCTGCCCTCGAGGGGTCAGGCTGACCCCTTGATTTAACCACCTCAGCCTCAGCTGGGCCAATCAGCGACCGCTCCCCCCCGCCCCATTCCAAGAGGACTCAGGGCAGGGCACAGCCCAGCTGTGTTGTGTGGCCAGATGCCACCCCCAGAAGGGTGCTCACTCACCAGGAGTGCCCGCTTACCTGGAATGGGAGCCGGGGTTGCTGGAGTCTCAGGGCAGAGAAGGGCTGGCTCCAAGCACCAAGCCTGCCCACCAACTCTACTTCCTTGGGAAAGTTCTCTGCCAGAAGTAGCTTGGGGACTCAACCCCCCAATACCACATGGCACCTTCCCTCAGGCAGCTCCAGTGCCTCCTCCTTCATGAAGTGTCTGACCCTAAACCTAGGTCACACGGATAACGAAACACTGACTCTCCAGGGAAGACCCTGCCAGGTATCGCAGACCTCACTACGTCCAGGTCAGACCTGTCAAAATGCCCTCGCCCAGCTCCACGGCAGCCCAGCTCCACGGCAGCCTCACCTCAGAGAAAACAGCTTGGGGTCCCCACCTCCATGCTCTGGAGGTGATGGGACTCACAGTAAGTGGTGGGGTATTTAGCTCCTGAAGTGTCCAGTGCAGTTCCAAGGGCCTGTGGTCCCCACCCCCTAGTTTCTGTGCAGAAGTAACCATGGAGGTGTCAGCAACGATGTCCCATAGAGTGGACGGTGCCTCCTTGCCCCTGAGCCCTGGAAACGCTCAACTCCAGCCACAAATAAGCCACAGCAGGGACATAGCTCTCAGAGATGATAGCAGCCTTAAGGCTAGGCAGGGTTAGAAGCAAGTGGACTGGCCACACTGTGTGGGTGTTGCACATGCCATTCACCAAAGCCAAATCCTCCCAAACAACCGAGTGCAGGCCTGTCCTGTCTGTGTGTGTCCCTCTGGGCAGTGGGGAGACTGAGAGACCCATGGACACTTCTTGGCTGTGAACCAAGACCATGGGCACCAGGTGGCACCTGCCCTGAAGTACACATGGGAGGACCCTTCTGCAAGCCCCTCCTTAGGCACGTCGGGGGTTACGGGGGTACAAATCTCCAGGGAATCCTGATAAGGAGAGACCTCCACAGGCTACTGCCTTGAGGTCTCCACAAAGCCCTCCACCCTGACCAGGCTGTTCTGCTAGTCTGGGGTGGGGCTCTGGGTACTCGCATTACCTGTTTGGCAGGGAAGGTCTGGGCACACAATCTGAGGGTCTAGAGGAAAGGAAAGAGGCAGGGGTTACGGTCAGTCCCAGCTTGTCTCTCAGCAGCCCTGCTGACCTGCCCATGAGCGGATCTTCCCACCTCTAAGTTTCCCTCCATCCCACCTGGGATGCTGCACATCTTGTCAACAGATGAGGGGGGGTCCCCTGGCTCACCCGGGCAGAGCACATCCTCCATGTCGTCGATGAACTTCTCGGCCACCAGGTCAGAGAAG